ATACCATATACTCTCATTATCTTCATTCCTATGTTTAATGGTCTAACTTTCTTACCTTAGTCCCAAAACATCAATCTTTTCCTTTTTGATATGTATATATATGATGATACTCTAGCTCCAGTTATAATCAGATTATGTAAATAAGTAAAGTTTACAAAATTCGCTAAAAATATTGGAGCAACTTTGGGATCACAATAGTATTTGTTAAGATTTATTTCGTGGATACTATGTTCAGCCCTAAAATTGAAATACTCCTTTGTTTTATAACCAAAATTTAATCTAAGGTATGTATAATAATGTTGAAAGAGCATGTTTATGAAGAGCAATATTATTTTATTATTATTGGCTCTTTCAAACACATAAAATAAATGATTATAGAATAATATTCCTAAACCAAAAACTCTGTTATAGTGATGTATTCTAACGATCATGCATGCACACATGGTGTCCTTTAATACACACGGATGTTATTTAAAAATAGAACAGAATTCTTGTGTGAATATGAAATATTGTGGGGAAAATAAGCTTTGCTTACCTTTCACTCTCTAGATCTTGGGTGGAAATGAAATGTCTGGTTATGATCTGTTTACTCTTTTTATGTAATAGTCTAAGCATTTGCTCTGACAAGACATTTTCTAGCATCAATTATATTAATTGTTCTTCAACTAGAACTTTGAGTAACTTGTTTACGTCATCATTGCAGAGAAAGCATGTAGTGCCATGAGGGTGACTAAATTTCACAAGTATTGTTTTTGTTCAACTTTGTATTATTTGGGTATTACATGAATGATACTTTGTTGTATCAGCATTACTTCTTATTTAAGGACCCATTTTCTCCACATCCCATCAAGAAATTAATTAGTTTTTACAGACTTAAGAGGCATTTGAATGGAAGAGGTTCATTTGAACTATTTTTCAAATTATTGCAATGAAAGAAAGTTGCACCACCAGGGATCATGGATGGCTAAACCATATTTTGTGATTGAATGATCAAGGCTGGCATGAGAGACTGTGAATTTCACAAGAAAAGAAATCAATCCCTTTTGCCTGAGAGCAAGGATGAATCAATAAGTCAGAGCCAACTCTGACAGAAACTTTGGAATATACTACCAAGCTGACATAAGTTTAAAGGTTGTCTTTAACTTGGGATTTTGGGGAGTGAATCTTACATACTAATCAAAGTTTATCTCCTGTGGGTGTTATCACAGCTGGATACCTGTGCAGGTAATTACAGTTTGCATTTCTATCGGGATTCATGAAGTACTATGTAGGTTTGCCTCTTAATCCCTTGGTTAATAAGGTTAATGATGAGCCATAGTCACTCCATGTCACAGACAGGAATATTCAGGCACGCACGTATTCGATGATGGTTCTGTAATCGCTCAGCCAATTGGTAGAGGCACACTGAGGTTTGGATCACTGTCCCCTGCATTGTGTTACATGTGGGTCAACACCTTTAAAAACCGTCTCAAACAAGTATCGGGACAGAGAGAGAAAATGCAGAAGTCATGTTGACAATACAGTTTTCTGACTATGTATCTTAAAAGAGAAGGTTTACACAATGTTTTATAGAAACCGCACACTTCGTGATCATTTCTGGTTTCCACCTGCAAAGCCTGTCGGCGCCGCCTTCAGAATCGCTCTGGAACAGATCCTGTCCAACTGCCCTGCCCGTCTCCAATCTGCCTCATCTCCCACCCAGAGAGCTTCCAGAAGGGTCTCCGGCTTCTACTCCCGCCGCAAACCTTGAATTTCCACGTAGCTGCTGGAAAGACCCTTCAAACACATAAGTGGAGTCTTGCTGCTGTCCACCTTACACCATAGGGTCTATTTCCACCTTGCTCAGACTTAAACCCAAAGTCCTGTCCTCGTCTTACGGGCTCTCTCTTATCTGCCTGTGCTCTGTTCCCAGCTTTATCTCTGCCTACTCTACGCTTTCAAGGTTGCCTTGCCCCCCACCCAGAATGTTCCTTCCCTGGAGAGACACCCAGCTCAGCCCCCTCCTCATTCATCGTTCAGCACAAGTGCCTCCCCTCCCAGCCGTGCCTTCCTGGACCACTCTCCACGCGCTCACTCGCCTCCTTGTCCGCAGCACGCCCTGGCCTGACATTATAGAGATATTCCCTCATCTGCTGCTCTCCACCAGAGAGAAAGCTTTGTGCACACACGGCCTCTGTCTTCTTTGCTCACTGTGATGTATCCAGGGCCTAGACTGGTGTCTGGCACATAGAAGCTGCTCAACAAATATTTATGATGAATGAACGAAACCCTTTCGTCATGTATTCCTCCCCCAAATTATATCTTTACTCCATTACTTTCAGGAAAAAAGGAGTAGGCAACTGATTTTCTATCTGTACGGCTTAGCACAGTTATTTGATACTTACTGGGAAAATCTGCTCTTTTTTCTATGTGAAATTCGATCATATAAATTGAGTCATTTTTGCCACACTCAACTAAAAGTTGAGCGACCAGTGGGAAAAAGCATTCAGGGTACATGACATTGCTCCAGAATGCAGCTCTCTGCAAGCTGGCTGCTGAAACTGCCTGCTGTAACCTGTCCCCAGCTTTGTCTAAGGGCTGCTGCAACCACCTGCTGTGACTCTAAGGCTAGTTTCACCCACTGTTGTCACTCACCAGTCAGAGCCTGTCAGCTCCCCAAAACCTTACTTGTTTTTGCATGTTGGCTTTCTTGATTAGAAATAGGTGATATTATTTATTCACTACTGAAATTGAAGTGCTAAAAATAAGTTATTCTAAAGGCACCATTTTTTGACATGAGCTTTCTTTCAAAACAATGTATAACATTGCTCCTTATATAGCCTCTAATCTTCTCTTTGTTCTTTGGACATGCTGAGGACCACCTGGTCTGTGTGTGTGGCCCGAGTTGCAATTCTTGCTTCCCAAAGAAAACATTTCACGTTTAGAGATTCTTCTCTACATTTTACTTGACTTTGACACTGTGCTGGGTGTGACATCACGGAATGAGCACTGTGAACTCAAGGGTCTTTAGCCCCTGTGTCATTCAACCCTAAGAGTGACTTGTTGTCCAGCACAGGCCACAGCCTGTGGTTCTTAACGGAGGGTGACTTTGCTCCCTCAGGAACATTTGGCAATGGCTGGTGTTGCGGGCTGATTGCAGAACGGGGGATGGACACAGAAAGAAACACACAGACACACACAAGACGTACAAGACTGCAGTGGTCGATTCCACCAGTCGTTTTATTTATATACTTTTTCTTGTCTGGCAGCTACTTCCTGGTACGTGACTACCTTGGGCGCCTTGAGGAAAACACATTTTCATTCCTTCCAGACGATTGCTCAAGGGAAGCAGATGTTTGCATCTTAACTTCTTTATCTCATTACCGTATGCAGGACAATGAGTCGCCTTGGCTTGTTTGCAAGACCCCAGGTGCTTGGTTATCTGTCATAAAGCTGTCCATCATGAGGAATAGTTCTGTTTGTTCAACAGGCCGTGTCCGGACCTATTGTCCTCTGGCCCCAAGGAAAGCACGTCCAGTTTTTCTGACTCTGGGCTTAAGCCAATTTTTGCCCAGGGACGGTCCCTACAGCTGGAAACATTTTTGGTTGTCATAAGTGGGGTGGGAGTTACTGGTATGCAGTGGGTGGAGGCCTGGGATGCTGACAACCAACCTGCAATGCACAGGGAAGCACCCCCATGGCAAATAATTACCTGGCTCTGAGTGTCAATAGTGCTGAGACTGAGAAACCCTGGTCTGTGCATTTTGGGAGTTATAAAAGAAATTAAGAACACAGTCCTATTCTCAGCAGTTCTATTTTATTACATGAAAGAAAACGAATGTGTAATTTACTAAGCTCAAGGTATGTGCCGAGCGCTTTTTAGGGGCTTGTTACATACAGGAGTTCTGATTTTCATTGCGTCCTCTCTAGCATTGGTGAGATAGGATAGGCTGCGCTTTGCCTCCTACTCTGGTCTCTCCTCTTCTCTGGTAATCAAAACCTAACTCCTCACCTGAGCACATTGCCACCTAGAGTTAGACACCTACATTCCCCCAAGCTCCCTTGCTGCTACATGTGGCCATCTAATTTCTTGCCCATTAAATGCAAGTGGAATTATTGTGAAGATCTTTAGCTAGAAAATGTGCTCATTTGCTCTTCCACCTTTCTCTCCTCTGCTTGTTAGAATGCATACTAATGGCAGGAGTCCCAGCAGCTATCTTACACCATGAGGTACTTTTGAGGATAGAGGCCATTTTGAGAATAACTAATACAAAATATAAGAGGAAGCTGGGTCTTTGATACCATGGAGCCCCCACACCAGCCTTGAACTTGTCATGTATTTGCATGTGAGAGGGAAATAACTTTGTATCTTGCTTTAATCACTGTCATTTTACATTTCTTTCGTTATATGAAGATGGACTTCTGTTTCAGTGAATCTACTCTTGACCTAATCTTGGCATGACCATCATCATTTTACTGATGCTCAGGAAAGTGGGGTGACTTTCTTACGAAGTCACTAGTAAGTACTGGTGAATACCGAAGGTGGGATCAGAATAGAGTTCTGACTGAGTTAGAAGCCAGTGGTTTACCCATTGCGTACGCCATTCTTATTAAGTATATAGAAGGATAAAAATGATTATGAGCCATCTCCTGCTCATTTAGTGGTGGATTCTCTTGGAGCTCTAGGTTTTTGCATGAGTCACACTTATGGCTACCGTGAATAGTGTGTAACTTCCTGGCAAAACTGTGGCCTGAATCTAGCAAATGAGCTGTGTTTTCCCTTTGTCACTTCCATGTCCCCGTGGTCCAGTGGGAAGCCAGGAAGATGCCGTCTGAGGACGGCCTGCTCTGCAGCTCTCCTTCATTTAGAGAAACACAGTAGATTCCTCGAGAAATGGATCCCTTAGAAATTCCCCCGTTAAGGTGATTTTTCTTTTCATGTTGAGAGCACACTTAACGCATAAGAACGTAGTTTGCTCCTGGTAGCCCAAAATAAACTGCAAAATTGATATCTAAGCTAAGTTTCCGTCTCTGATGATTAAGGGCAAAACCGTTAACTATACTCATTGAGAATATGTCAAAAAAATGATCCCTTTAGAATAACTTATTCTTACCACTTCGATTTCAGTAGTGAATAAGTAATAAGATCATCTATTTCTAATCAAGAAAGTAAACATGCCTTTGACATAAAAAGGAATGTATTTTTCTATTCTACCTAAATAATCTTTCTAATCAACTTTTATCTTAATTTTATTTTTTAGTCCAAGCCATCTTAAATACTTTTTGGAATTAAATATTGCTATAATACTGTAAAACATACTAATAAAATGTGATATATTTTCATTCCAATGATACTTTTGAGTAAGTCCAATTTTAACAATACACATTATTTTAAGGACTTATTTTAATTAATCTTTCTCTTAAATAACAGATTACTCCATGCCAAATATACACATTAGAGTATTCGTACACCTTTAGTATCTATCTCTACTTTTCTCTTTGCTGACCCTCAATTCTTCTCCAATTCTAACTCTTTCCCACATTTCTGAGGCCCCTTTGTAGTCACCCATCAATGGGTAACATGGGAGTGACTTGCAGGGGTTGACTGAAAGAATGAATAGCAAATGATAGTTTAAAAAATTGCAAATAAATAGCTTACAATTAATTTTTGAAAACCCAATGTTAAAATAAAATTGTGAGAGTCAAGAAAAATTGTGGAAGACTTCAAAATGGGCAAAAGAAAAGATGATTTTCCTCTTTGTTGCACTTTTAAAGGTTCTATCCACTCTTTGTTGCCTGTGAAGTATTTTTCTACTCTGCGAATGGTAGAAAATCGATAATTCAGACAATTCTTATCCATGGAACTGCACGTGAATTGTGTCTACTGGAATGCATCTGATGCTTCCTTCCCCCATGAATACAGCATTTTGCTCTGTTTGTAAATCCAGGCCAGCCCCGGCATTCCTTACTGTCTCCATCTATTCATCTATCGCCCTCCCTATCAATCTGTCTAGGTCTATTCCTTGTTGATCTGTCGATCTATCTAGGCCTGTCAATCTATCATCTGTCTGGCATCTTTCTCTCTATTGGAGTTTTCCTTTCAACCAGATAGAACATATTACTATTTCATGAGCTAAATAAAATCTTTGATGTGTTTCCATCTTCCATGTGCATGAGAGTCATGTCTTCACTTTATAAAAGATTTCTCCTTCAACATTAGGCTCAGAGTCACCTTCCAAAACCTTGCATCTCATAATGGCACTCCTGGTGACACCCACCTTCCTATGGGAGCATGCCTGCCCATTCTTCTTCCTTTGGGTGCTATAACTCATTCACTTGACTTTTGTTTCCCATTTGGTTTTGAGCGTGTGTTGAAAAGTAGTAATTTAGGGCACACTCTTGGTGCTTTGGGCAGGCTGCTTTGATCTCAGTGGGAGTTCAGTTGTTGCAAGTGCTACAGCTCCGGGTCTGAGTGATTTTCAGGTCTATTCAGGACCAAGTTTAGAAGTAAGGAAGATTGGTTTTGCTAGTATGAGGATCTGGATGACTTCATTTGACATCTGGGAAATTTATTGGATGAGGGTCAAACCTCTGAAACACATCTGAATGCAACTGTTGAAATTTTTGTTTTGTGTTAGATGCTTTCTATGATTTATGTGGTAATGACTGTAAATCCATAGAGCCCAAAGAAAACATTCCTCAGGACCAGAAGGAAAACTCAGACGTACATGGAAATGCACCGTGTCCAAATACCCAAGTACCAAAGTGGAGCATCTTTAATTCTTTGCAAGTCTCATAAGCAATGGATCAAAATTTCAGATGTTTTTTAGACTATAGACCTATTGTTGTAGTTACTGATATTTGTACAATATTTCCTGACTTTACAGATGATAAATTTCCGGGACAAAGTTGCTGTACACGAAGCATCTCTTGTCTAACTTAGTAATCTCTTGGGGGCAAGTAAGTGCCTATTTCATAGCCAAAGCCACCTTTGACAATGACTGTCAGCAGAAATGTGGCTTTGTGCCACTCAAAGAGATCGCTTCTTATAGAAAACTTTTCAAACGGGGTATAATTAATTCCCCTTTATGTTGGATATCAACGTTATTATTTCCACAAGTAAAGATCATGTCTTTGTTTCTTAAGAGGAAATAAATATGATGTGCTAATAAACATTACCCAAGATGAGAGAAATATTCTGTTATTTTCTTAAAGCAACAGTGGACTTAAAATTTGTATGGAATCTATGTAAAAAGAAATTG